GTCAGGGTGGCAGGGGCCTGGAGCCTATCCCAGGCAGCATAAGATACACCCTGGGTGGGGTGCCAGTCCACACAGAGTTATACACATTAGTCTACAAGGCTTTGGACTCTGAAGGAAACCTGTTCTACACATGGAGAACATGAAAACTCCATATACAGAGCAGAGGTGGGATTCAAACCCACAACCTTACAGGCGCGCAGCTCTGGTGGCACCCTCTCCTCAACAGCTAACACAATTAAATAGTCCCATTGAACACAAGGGCAAGGTTGTGAACACAATCTCTTCAGATGTCATAGGATAAGACCCCAACTGGTGTTCTTGTTTTGTAAAATGTTTTTAAAACATTTTTTTTTTTTAAAAAAGTCCAAAAGTCCAAACACTGATTACACTGCTTAGTATAAAGCAAAGCAAAAATGATTTCAGAGACGTAAAAAAGCAGGAATACAACCCCTGCATTAGGGCGGTCCACGGCACTATGGAAAATTTTGAATTTCATTAAAACCCACCTCCACAAGTTTAAATATGTTCTATCAGATGTAGTAAAGATATGATGTAAATATGGAGCAAATTGAACTACATTTAGAGGTCGCTCAAGGTCCCACAAGTTTGTTGTGGACTCAGATTAAGACAATTTGCCAAAATTCCAGGGTAAAATCAAATGAAAAAATTAGCATCTCTTTAATCGCAAGTACTGTCATTAAATGGGAAGATGAAGGCGCAAAATTTCTTGGCTAAGGACCCAAGAGAATGGAATGACGACCCTTCGTACCAGGAACTTCAAACAGCAGCGTCAAAAATGAAGGTCGTGAATGATTGTGCAGAGAGAGCCATTGCATTGATGCAGCAATACAATTCATCCCTGACCAAGAACGAGGAGCAGAAGCAGTATCTCCTACGTTTGGTTGAAAGACACAGAAAGAAATATCCAACCTGCGCCAAGTCTACCCTTCTGAAAACGGAGTCGGGACAGCAACAGTGCGACACTGATGATAAAGAACATTAGAACGTTATGGGACAATATACAACAGTAAGAGTCCAGACAACCTGAATCCAAGATAGTAACAGCTAATTTGACATGTTTCTTCTGTTCTTTTTCACTCATGGAAATTCTAATTCTGTTTACTGCATGTTTTCCTTGTTTTATTGCATACAATTACACAATACAATATAGCTGTTGCAGTGTTGCATTACTACCAGCTTGAGCGACCTCTAAATAATGACCAATCATAATAAAATTTGGCAGACACATTTGTAATAAGGGGAAGAATAAAATTAGGGTTGTGGAGGGAAAGCTGTGTGAAGTTGTTAATTTTGGACCACCCTACCCTGCATGTCTCTGGAATACTTCTCCAAATCAGACAAAGCTTATGTGGCTCCTTGTGAGCTGTATTTCAGGATAACTTGAGTACTTTGTGCTTCTTAAACACACAAGGCGACTCACTGAATTTGTTTTGCTGGAAAAACAATGTTTCAGGAGATGCCATTTAAATTATCAAGAAATCTTCACGTGACATAATACAGTAACAGGTGACTATGGAAAATCACAATTCAAGAAATGTCTCTTTATTTGCATTGAAAGTTCCTCTTTCTTTTTGTAAATAATACTTGGCAAGCATCATTCATACTTCTGGATCCAAATCATATATTACAGAAATGGAGATACAGTATGTACTCACTTTATCCTGGAATCAAACCATCAGTATTTTTCTGCTACCAATGAGAGATATAATCAAGTACAGCTGAGATCAGGTGACACGAATCAATGTCACAAAGTAATCAAGCAAAATCTGTAAACAAAACATACACTATTTGGACAAAAGTACTGGGACACCTAGCCATTACACCTACAGGAACTTTTATGACATTACATTCTAAATCCATAGGCATCAGCATGGAGCTGGTCCCCCTTTGCAGCTATAACAGCTGCCACTCTTCTGTGAAGGCTTTCCACAAGATTTTGGATTTGGTCTGTGGGAATTTTTGCCCATTCATCCAGAAGAGCATTTGTGACGTCAGGCACTGATGTTGGACGTGAAGGTCTGGCTTGTAATCTCAGTTCTAGTGAGGCAGGTAACATTCTCCTGGCGTCCGCCAGACCCAGACAGAGAAGCGAGATTCGTCACGCCACAGAATACATTTCCACAGCTCCCGAGTCCAGTGGCAGTGTGCTTTACGGCACTCCATCCAATGCTTGGCATGGTGCTTGGTGATGTGAGGCTTGCATACAGCTGCTCGGTCATGGAAGCCCATTCCATGAAGCTCCCGGTGCAGTTCTTGTGCTGAGGTTAATGCCAGAGGAGGTTTGGAACTCCGCAGTTATTGAGTCAACAGAGCGTTGGTGACTTTTACTCACTATGCGGCTCAGCACTCGGCGACCCCGAGCTGTTACTTTACATGGTCTACCACTTCGTGGCTGAGTTTCTGTTGTTCCTAAACGCTTCCACTTTGTAATATTATTTACAGCTGACCATGGAATATCTAGCAGGGAAGAAAATTCTCGAACTGACTTCTTGTAAAGGTGGCATCTTATGACAGTACCTATGTCATAGTACCTATTACAGGTGCTTGATTTTATACACCAGTGGCAAAGGGTCTGAATGAAACACCTGTATTATTAAGATATTGCCCCAATACTTTTGTCCATATAGTATATATTGTTATTTCAGATACAGAAGGCGCTTCACTCTCAATAATAAAGGAAAACTGGGAGAGGGATTTGGGTATAGACATAACCGATGATCAATGGACTAATCTTCAATTATCTGTGCCAAACATGGTCTTATTCAATTTAAGATTGTACAATGACTCTACATGGCAAAGGTCCAAGGTCTCCAAAATTGTCCCTGGGCTTTGGTCCTATTTGTGACAGATGCAAGCAAGCCCCTTCCAGTCTTTATCACACGTTTTGGTCATGCCCAAGTCCAACAGCATTCTGGTTCTCTGTACTCGAATCATTCTTAAAATTCACTCGATAAACAATTGAACCCTGTCCCCAATTGGGACCTTCTGGTGTAACATCACAGAATCTGGCTCTATAAAAACCGCAGTTAAATAGCACGGCCTACTCCTTTCTCTTGGCAAGGTGTCTCATTCTCCTAAATTGGAAGAAAGACCCTCCCCCCTTTGGTAGGTGGATCTGTGACATTTCATCTTTTCTTAAGATCAAAAAGATGATACACTGAATGGATGTTTGGGAGGTTTGATGACAGTCCTTCACATCATATGTGGAAAGGTCGGTACGACCTCTTACCCCTGGATAATGGATATTGGGTGGTAAATATTTAGTTACCTTGTGTACTTGCACTGTTTTCTTTCTTTTCGTTGTTTTTTTTTTTGCCATTTTCTGTTGTCGTCTTCCCCCATGTAGTCTTTGTTGTGTCATTTCCTTGACGGACTTGTACAGTTGTAAAACTTAAACATGCATTGGCAAAAAAAAACCATATCTTAATTTTCTTTAACTTTCTTAATACTGTGACCACTTTTTTATCATATTGGTTTGTAATAGAGTCAGAACTTAAATATCTAAACAACTCGACCAGAATCCTAATTGGCCTTGCTTGAGTAATAGAAAAGGGAACAGTAGGTTATGTGGTTAAATGGTATAGTGTTTAAGAAACCGCTCCTATAGTAACGTGGTTCAACATTCAGTCATTGCATTCGGCATGGAAAACATTATTTATTTATTATTTGAGGCACATTTCCAGAAAGTAGCGTAATATTATCCCTGGACTTTAGAGATAAAAATGTGAACATTCAGTCTGAGGGAGCTGAATGAGTATATTACTCAAGTCTCAACAACCATAATTAAATTCCCAGTTCAGGCACTGTGCGAAATTCACCGGCACTTTAGATACACACCTGAAATACATAAATTACCAACAGGGTTTTTCTCCCCTCCACTTACTGCCACCCCGTGGTCATTAAAAATATTGCAGATGCCTTCATTGATAGAAGATGTTACCTATTTTCAACTGGATTACTGAAATGGTTAAATTCAAGACATTTGATGCACGCCTTGTTGCAGAGAAACATTGGCAAGAATAATCAATCAACCTATCAATGTACACACACACAGTCCATGTATTTAGATATTTCTCACTTGTGCTGGCAGCGTGCAGAACCTACTTGCTGTGAAGCTAGTAACATAAAAATATCAATAAAATATCAGAAAAATGCGAATATTAACATGGCTTGGACCCCTGGAACATACACGGCAGAGCACACTACAAACTGCCCCGGGCTCTTCCTGGGGCCGGGGGGGTGGGGGGTGGGGGGCTACGTTTTGAATGATCTCCCTTCCGCGAAACCCAGGCAATGAGCCCACAAGCAGCCATCATCACTGCATAGCGTGGGCTCCGCAGTCTAACACCAAGCATGAGCATCATCTCTCAGAACAAGAAATGGAAGGTGGGCACAGGTGCAGACTCAGCACTTACTGACGGCTGCCACGTCTTATTCTCAGGGGACACGGCCTCTTCTTTTTATTTCTGACAGACATATTTACGTAACATGCTCAACATATTTCCCAACAGACCTTTGTTTTTGTTATCATGACAGTGTTAACTGGGTAAGTTCTATAAATAAGATCAGCACACCGAGAATCAGATCTGACATTGCCATACAGGAAATTGTCTTTTAGGGCGAACTTAAACTCAATCTCAAACAGCAAAGTTTAAAGGGATGTTGCTGTGCGCGGGCTGAGATGAAAACAACACAGTCACATTCAAATGCTCACGGTTTGGCTTTATATATCATTTATTTGATGGTTACCACCAGCAATAACAAGGGCCTTTGTTTTTCAGCTCCAGAAAACATCTTCGTACAAAGACACGGGGGTCAGTAGGGCAAACAAATATAACGAAACTAAAACACACAAACTGTCACGTAGCAGACA